CTAGTAGTTGGGTCACATTTGAAAATTAGTAGCTTACCCAGATGAAACAAAACCAGGTTTGTAGGTAGAGTTCATACTTTTTTACTAGAGTAACTTCCACAGTTTGAAAAAATAGGCAAGCTTTTAGACAAAGACCACTTCTGGTCTGGAACAGAAGGAGGAGTGTTCAAGCTAAGACCAATCTGAGAACAACTGCTCTGCTTTTACTTTGTCACGTCAAACAAAACACTGTTAGGACTGATAGGCCGCCTCTTAGAGCCTGGAGGGTCAAGCTCTGAGTTAAGAAGAGGTCCAGCTATCTCAGTCTATATTAATCCCGCATATGGCTCTACCAGCTTCAGTAGACAAAGACTGTTAACCTAAGCATTTAATGATAATTTCCACTGAGGATTTGTTTATTTACAGTAAAAGGCAGGGTGACCTTAGTGGGCAGGACTCTCGGCTGAAACTCTGAAGCCCACTTTCTTTTCTTCCCTCAGCTGCTACTGAGTGATCTACAGTGAGCGCGTCTATCTGTCAGCTTCTGTGTGGTAAATGGGCACATCTAAACTGGCCTCCTTGCAAAGTCCTTTTAGATCTACAAAGAAGTGTTGCACAGCTGCTATACACTTCTTCATTACTAGCTCTTTTTCATGTGGTTCCTTTAATAGATATTTGAGTTCTGATAATGTTGCACCCTGTTCTCTTCTGAGCGGAGCAAAACATTACTGGTGCTGGTAGCATCTCTCTGTTTGCTAAATGTCCCTAGAAGACTCCTACTAGTGTGATGTAAGCAGCTAAAAATTATTTTTCTAAATTTCTCAATATCAGATATGCTCTTAAATAGGAGAAGGCTATATGTGTTCAGGAACTACTCAAGTTTCTTCATCTCCCTGGACGATTACTGCAATGGCAGATCCAATCTGAGTGGGCACACGTGGAAACAAACAACTATGTTGATGCTCGCAGATTCTGTAGTAAATGTACAATAAATGCTATCTTTGTCACATGTAAATAATACACAGGAAAATGAATGCTGAAGAACTTCCCATTATTCTGTAATGTAGGTGTATGTGCAGTCAAATGTACAAATGCATAACCATTCTTAGGCGCAATAGCAAATGTATGTAATACGAACATGTTTAAGTATGCATACACTGGCATTAAGTAGTGTGCAATATATATATAAAATATATGGCAAATAAACATTCAGGTTGCAAAGACAAGAAACATTGGATAGTCCAGAATTCAGGTTTCCTGGGCATCCTTAATTAGCCCTTTTGAATATGTATGGTGACACAATTTTAGTTACATGATAACGTGTAGGTTTTTTTCCTTAACAGATTCTTACTTCAGCCAGTCAATAGGAGGCAGCTTTTAACCTTTCTGGTTTTATCTTATTCCATTCAGTGCTCTGGCCTCAGATCTCATGTTAGTGCACATGATCCAAGTATTACACTGAACACACAAAAAACACTAATCCCCTTCCAAGGTTTTGTTTCTCTGTTGCTTCCACGACAGCATCTTAATATCTCCCAAATCCTGATGAACTTATCTCTGCAATACATCTATACAGGATGAGAATTCTCTTTGCTTTACAATATTATTGCCATCATGCAAAAGTACTTAAGCACAGGGGGAGAAAGGACAAAAATGTCAGAATGACAACTTTCAGTGAAAGCTGAAAGAGGGAGCTGTGGGAGCCTTCACATGTGTGGAATTTCCCTAGCACTTTCTTCCCCCAAAGCACAGGGCCAGTTGACTTCAGCTCTCAGCACTTCTGCATTTCAGGCCCCAGGTGTCTCTTGTTGAGCACCCAGAAAATGAAGCCAACTACTCAAGAGGGAGGAAATTCCAGAATTATGTCATCATGCCTACATGTGGGGAGGGGAAAGGAGTTAATCGTGCCCAGGCAATCCAAATTCTGGCATTTGCTAACATTTTAGCATTTGGCTCACAACCCTGTCATTCTTTTAGTTGAGTTTCTCTGTGTATGTGTATACATTTCTCTGTAAATAAATAAGGACATCTGAATTATGCCTAATCTTCTAAAAACTCTTGCGCTGCCTTCTCAGTAAAACTAATTTATTGATGTGTGTGCTCTTGGAAAAAGGCAGGGCATGTGTTTTAATAACCTTTACTGATTGTTCCTGCTGCAATTAAATCTAGAGAACTCTTGGGAAACTTGGTTTTGATTTTTCCCAGAAGAGGAAGGAAGGGAAATAAAGAAGATCTATCTTAATAGGTGCTGAAGTATTGATACACCCCCTGCTCCAGCTGTGCCTCAGCTATTCATCCCTATTCTGCTTTAGAAGCAGGAATGGGCTACAGGCAGGCAACTACTTTGACACCCAAAGTCAGGGGGACCAAGAACTTCTAGGGGACAGGGATAAATTTGCTTCACTTCAATCTGAAAATCTGCTACTAAATCTCAAGTTCTACATTCGCTACATTGTCCCTATGCATCACCAAATAACACTTGAGGCATTTAAAAGCAGAGCACGAAGCCTTTAAAATCACAGTACTTTCAATTAAATATTGTTTTAGGTTTTCTTTGCTGCCTGCATATTTTCTTGACCCTCCACCTTCTGAAACTTCCATGCACAAGCTGACAGGTTGGAAACACGTTAAAAATGGAAGCTGAAATCCATATGTAAACAGCTGGCTCCAAGGGCTGGTGCTTTAGGGAATGAAAACTTGTAATGCAAGACTCACAAAACTCTTCTGGGAGTTGGCTTCATTAGTATCTGCCATAAGCGTGTCTGTATGCATATATGAGTGCACCGTTGCAATCCTATCTGTGCATGGATATGTACTTGAGGTTAGCAGAGTATTCACTCGCTGCTGTGCCAGTCACTCTTCTGTCTTCTCACACTTCTCATATGTTCTTTGAGGCTGGGAGTGCCTCTGTCTTTCATACATCCCCATCTCCACTAGCATTGCAGACCGATGGCACAAGGACCTTTTTTTACCCGTCCTGTGTGTGTACAGCAGGAGAGCTCCTCTCGTTGACTCTCTGCTGACTGAGTGTGATGTTATCTGTCTTTCAGCCAGCGGACAGAGCAATGTGTTTAGCCTGCCAAACTGGAACACCCTGCCTTGCTCTCTAAAAGCTTTTCTCTATAGCCCTTCTATGTAGGGTACCTAGGGAAATGTAATGGTCAGGGAAGGCATCAAAGGGAGGCATCGTGAGCACCCTGCCTTTCTGACACTTCAAGTTTCATGATCTGAAAAATCCCTGATAAAGGAGTAGCATTCATTACTAGTGCTTTTAATTCTGGAAATGCCTCCTCATCCATACTGGATTCCTCCTTCCTTCCCAGCCTGTGGAGCACATGATTATCCCTGGTGACTAGAAAGATGAGCTTTCCCTCTCTCCTCACTGCAGTCACTAGCAGTAGGGGGAGCGATGGCAGATCTTATGCCAAGATTTCATCATTTTTCCAAGAGGGAAAAGCACGTCTGTCCATGATGAGACACTTCCTTACAGTATGTGGCTAAGCCATGCTCTCTAGCCAAGACACCAGCTTACATGTCCCCTGAGGGCTTCTGGGAGAGAAGTCCTTGGGTAGGCAACGTGGTGGGAATAGCATGGTGCCTATTACGTTGTTGAAAACAAAACACAACTGCATGTTCCTGTTTGCTGAATTCAACCTGTCAGCACCACCATCTCCTCAAGAAGCCAGGAATGATTGCAGCCAGCCTTTGCAGGAGAAGGTGCCAGTAGCTAAGTAGTTGGAGTTGTTTCCCCGTGTTTGCTTCAAGGCCACGATAACACGGCAGGTTAGAGCAGAGAGTGTGCCTGGAGAAGCACCATGTGTGGTGACAGGTAGGTTGCTCAGAAAGCCCTGGAGGAACTGCAGTGTTTTTCCTGACAGCTAAATGCCCCAGGGCCAGGACAACATGTGTTCTCTCATGCCATGGACCAACACAGGGCACTGTGCTTGCTATACCTTAGTGGTATGTCAAGCTCCAAAATCGCTCCAAAATAATTCCTCCATAGCACACGGATTTACTCATCCTAATTGTCAAATACTTTTAGGACCAGCTCTATTTTCAGTCCTCCTAGCTCACTGAATCTAGAAAGCTGGGTGTCTCTACTCTCTCTCGAGTATGAGTAGGTTGTGTTCCAGCTTTGGGCACAGGAGAATAGATCACATTGCTATAGCTGGGAGCAAGTAATGAGAGCTAAGTAGATTTTGAGCCATTTTGGTGTATCACTGTCTTTCTAGCTCTGCTTATGTTTTGGTCTGGACAATCAGAACCCTTCTAACCTCAGACTAATATCAAGGAGCAAATGATTTGCCCTCCTGAATAAAATGAGAACATGTGAGTGTGGGGAGAGAGGGGAAGGGAGAGAGACATTTGCATAGGTCAGGAAAGGTCATTAAAACATCTGGCAGTAGTAACTGACATGTGTCAAATTTTAGTGTTCATTAAATTCATATTAATGCAAGAATGGTTCTTAAGCTGCAAATGCCACTTTGGTTGCTGTGTTCCCCCAGTTGATGGTGATGACTTTTCAAAACTGTACCATGCTTGTTTTCTTGCTAGTGGCATCTGACCTGAGGTCGGATTTCTATTTAACCTCTTCCTGTAGGTCAAAAGACAAATTAATCTTGTGAGAATTGAATTGGAAATTAGGTGTCTGGATAGCAGGTGTCCCAACCATGGAATAGCTGCCAGGCTGAAACATGATTGTATCTGTCCTTATGCCATCCAAGAAGTCATCTCCGAGGTCAGGGAGATATTCAGCTGACATCTGAGATGGGAAGTTGCTACAGGGAGCAGAAGTGGTAGGTGCCCTGTGCTAGCAGAGTATCTTGCACTCTGGGGGCAAATACCTGAGAGTGTCACTCTGAGCATAAATGTAGATGTTCCATGTATTGTGCACTTTGCTTTACCTGGGTTTATTACCAGTTTATAATTGTAAAGAAGACATACAATTTCTAGGCCCCTTAAGGAGGAGAATCTCACAATCTTTCAATCTTTTTTTTCTTTTTTGTTTTTTTTTTTTGTAGAGGATGAAGATGACGAAGAGATGGTGGAGCCAAAAGCACAGGATGACTTGGAGATGGAAAGTCAGGACCAGAAGCAGGAAGTGAAAGAAGGTACTTTAAAAAATGAAAAGGATATTGCTAGATGTATAAAGGACTGGGTCCTGCCAGTAGTTACTCTCATAGGTAGTTTCCATTATTGAGAATACTAAAATCTGAACAGTCACCAGTTTTATTGATTCAAAACCATGAGTGGCATAAAGCAGAAAATTTTATCCCAGTGACCCAGCTGGTAGGCCTGAGAAGCTTGTGAAAGGCACAAGACTTCAGCTGTTTAGAAGAAGCTACATGTCCTTATAATCTGGGAACAAAGTAGAGCTTCTTGGATCCCAGGACTGATGCTACTTTTTTCTCTGGCTCAAATACCCTGCTCACATGAAAGATTTAAAATGCAAATGCCAGGCATTCCAGTAGCTCTATAAAGTTGTTTGGTCTTCAAAGGTACTTAGAGTCCATAACTGCCTGCTTGAGAGTGACAAACTTGAACCTCTTGGTAGTCAGGAATCTTCCAGCAGAAAACCATTTCATTGGAAAAATGTTGACTGTCAAAACCAAAACTTTTTGTGGGAACTGCTTCAAGGGAACTTAAAAAAAACACCTGAAGCCAGGCAGATCCAGGCCTTCTGTCCATTACTGTGCACTGAGACACTCTCCAGGGTTACAAGAGACAAAAATTCAGGTTACCTCTTGATTCTGGTGCAGACAAGAGACACTTGCCAAAGTCATGCATGTCAGCACTGGACATGGTAGGTATGCATGGTGTCTCTTTTCCTTCTCTTGGACCTGTCCTAGCTTTCAAATTAGAAGGATGTGAAATGTCTTCCTCATCTAGGAATTTACTAGAGTATTGTCTATTCTACTGTGTCAATGCCTTCAACAGTCAGTGCTCACTCCTGTGTGGAGTGGGGAAAAGAGCTGAAACAGCAGCAGCTCTGGGGTGAAAGGAAATGGGTTTCTTCTCCAGCATTTCTTACCTCTATATTGCCAGGACTGCTGTGTAACTTACTTCTTCAGGTAGGGCCTATGTCCCTTCTTGCTATGGTTGTCATTAACAAGATGATTCTGCAACCTTAGTTTTGTTTTTCACAAGATAATCTCACTAGGAGAAAAATATGTAGTAATTTTACAGAGAAGCCCATGAAATCTTTAACTGTGAATATAACAGTGGATGCTTCTTTCTCATTCAGGGGAGACTGGTATCCTTTTATCAGTGTCCAAAAAAACCTGAATCCAGTATACAGTGCCCACATTTACTATCCTCACACACTGAAGTGAGTTGCAGAATCAGCTGCACTGTTTTGATTATAAATTGATCTTTCTTTCCTCTTAAGAACATCATAGAAATCACCTATGCCATAAATCCTGTGGTGTTCATTGCTCATTAGGTCCTTGTAGAAACACGGAGGGAGAAACTCATTCCTCCTGCTCCTCATCCTTCTACTTCTCCCACTGGCCCCGGCCACTGCTGCCATGGGCAGAGTGGAGCAGTGGGAGCAGTGGCGACAGCAGGAACAGGAGGCAGACAAGTCTGCAACGGCAGAACTGAGGACATGAGCAAGAAGCATGGCAACACAGAAAAACTTACTTTTTCATTAAAATTACACTTCCTTCCAGAACTGTGGGGTCAACTCACATACAGCCTGTAGCAGTCACTGGACCTAACAAAGTGTCTCTTTTACTGGTGACAACACAAAGCCCTAAAAACTGCTATCACTGCACTCGGTGTGCAAGCACTGTCCTGAGTCGCTGAATGTCCCTCCAGTATTCAACTTACAGCTGATACCACACCCATTTATTTCCACAGAAAAGTAGCACTAACACTTACACATGGGGAGAAAGCACAAACTCCTGCATGAAGAGAAGAAAAAATCAAAATACAATCCTGAACTGATTTATTTTACTTTCTTGTGGGCTTTCAAATTAACCTCTTGTGTACTTTGCTGACTAACCACCACTGCCAAAATCTTTAATTTCTTTGCTGTGTTTTAGTCAGGGGGCAGTGCTCCCCTTCCCTGCCTAGCAGACCCCCCCCCGGGAGCGGAAGATCAGCTGGGCTGGTTTAGCGCTCGTCTCAGACACACAAACTGCAGGCTGTAAAAATAAGGCACAGCTTGTTTTAGCAGAACCAGCTTTGTGAGGTGCTAACATTTGACTGGGTTCAAGGAAGAAGAAAACATGCTCATTGCCTGATAGAAAGTGAACTTGACCTGCAGTATGTGTTGTGATGGATGAAATAGTGGCATGCTGATGATAGGAATTAAATGCTGTGAATCAAACTGACACGGAACGGAGTCTCATGTTTTTAGTGTTCAGTGTCCTTCTCTCCCTGTTGGCTTTAGCCCTCTTGACTACAAAATCCCATTTTCCTCTCTGTTGTAATCACCCTTCTCATGTTCTGAGCAACATTCAGAGTTTGAAGCCATCGTTTGTGTTTCATGGAAGTGATTAAAACCATGTTACAAGTCAAACAGGAGTTTAGAAGAACATTTCCTGTCGGTGCTGCACTCTGTGTGCCTACTCAGAATTAATAGCTTTTCTGCAAATTAGCACATAATGGGTTAAAAGTATGTTTATGTTGGCATTAAGTACTCTGGCTTCTTTTTCTCTGCAAGGCAAGACAATATTTTGCAAACTTTTTAAAGAATCTCTAATAGATATTATAGTGGCGCCATTCACACTGCTATATAGTAGTTAAGGCTGTGTCAGCACTTCCATTATGAATCCTGTTTTTCAGGGATTTATAACCCAGCCGTAAAAATTTGCTCTGGGCTGAAATTTGGTTTCAGCTCAGGGAGCACATTTTTTAACAGATTAAAAAAAATCAGCATGGCTTTTTTTGAGTTATAGAAGTGTAAGAAAAAATCCACGGGAGAGAGAAGTGCAGGAAGGGAAAGACAGACAATTTTTCATGAATAAAACTCAAAAATAGGTTAAGATAAAAAACAGAGCTTGGATCTAGTCTGTTGAGTCTTCCTCTCTCCAAGCCAACAGGTCAGGGGTCCTCTATTTTTATAATGGTATTTTAAGAGGAAATGTGATTTTTTTTTCTCTGTGGTTTATAGGTAGGCCAATTTAATTCTACAGATATTTATAGCATGCTTAATTTCCTCATCTTACCCTCCCCCAACAGTTGCTCTATGGGGTTTTGTGGGATTATTCAGCAGTCATGGGTGTTTGCAGGGTCTGACCCTAGTTCTGGACATGTCTCAGCATCACTATAAGGCACACAGTGTAGCTGCAATGAGGCAGCCTGTCTGGCACCTCTTGCAGAACTTCCTTGCCAAGGAGATGCAAAGGGCAGAGGTACAGCTTGTGCCCCCCAAAGTGGAGTGGGAAATGAAGAACTGACTGGCTGACCACTTGAAGCGTATGAAGCCTTGGGGCCACCTTGTATTTCTTCCATGGGGCTGCCTGTTGTCACCTGTGTCTCAGGTGCATGTTCTCCCCACTGTTTTTGGAAGAACTGATTGTGGGATACCTGATGGTGAATTGGGATGGGCTCTGCCTATTCGCAGCCTCTCCTGACCACATAAACAAGACACTGGTCTCAAACTGTGGCATCAAGTGGGATGGGGCTTTCTACCACCAGAGAGCTCTGGAGCTCCATCTAAGGCTCCTCTTTGTGTCAGTAGAAACCACATGACCAATGGGATGCGCTGGGTCTTGAAATTGGGCCTCAATCTGCATTTGTCTGAAGCCATAGGTATATTCACGGAAACTTGCATGAAAGGCTGTGATGGGAAGGCTGGGACTGGCAGCTCCAAAGACTTGCTGTGCCCTGCTCTTGCCCTGGCTTTACACATGGTGCTTGGGTGTCCACATAGCAGGCCATGCTGATGGAGATGGTTTAGCTCTCGACAGCTCAGGCATCAGTATCAGGAAAGCAGGACAGGTTGTGGTGAGGTTTTTAAGAACCAGTGATGCCACGATTTCACTGCCACTGACACCAAGGAAGCTCAGGTGTGCCAACCCATCCTTGCAGCCCTACTCAGGCATGCTCAGGGATGGTGCTCAGCATGGCTCCTGGAGAAGCACAGTCAATGGGAACAGCCCTGCCTGCCACAGATCCAGATTTAAGGTTCTGCATCTCCAGAATCAAAAAATCCCTAAATGCCCCTTGAAATCTTCTTTTACGTGTTCAGCAGTTATGCCATGTGGGGGCTTGCCAACACAACCAAGATATGACACATATGAAACCATGATATGGCACAAAGCTGGTTATGGAATATATCAAACCTAACCTGACATGAAAGTGTGAAGCACAAGAAAAACAAGCTCTCAGCAGGCAAGGACTCGAAGCTGCTGGGAGCCTCTTCACACATTGTGGTTCTCACCCTGTACCTTTCGGCCATCCTCATTCATCAGCACATCTAAAGTTTACATGGATTTAAATAGACGCTGAAAGAAATAATACATCTCTTAAAGGGGTTTTACTAATCTCCTTCTGTCTCTTGTTATATCTCTGGGTTCATAACAAGGCTGCTTCCTGCTTTACTGTTCTTACTAGTTTGCCCTTTCTTTTGTTCACTTATTCCTTTTGGTATTTTTCTTTTTTTTTTTCTTTTCTTCAATGGACTTCAATTCTCTTGTCAGGTTTTTAGAATTGCTGAGATTCCAGGAGAATCTTTTTTATAGTCTATTATAATTATTTAAATATGATTTTTTTAATGTCTTTTTGACTCTCTTGGAAGAAGACTCGAATCCTGATATTTGAATATTTGTGAATTTGATCTTTCACTGTGATCCCAACTATTTATGTTATATTTACTACAAATATGCTTCTGCAGAATAAGAACAAGTCTGTAGTAATTTTATCTTAGTTCCTAAAAACTCATGAAAATGTTTTAACAAAAACTTTTTTTCTGGTTTGTATAAAGAAATTTATGGAAAAAGGACCCAATGTGGAACATGTTACTTCTGAGGATCATGTTAAACCATGTGAAATAATAAAATGTTCCTATTTTTGTAAATAAGTCTTGAATAAATTGGTTGTTTTCACATCATGTTCAATTATTGTTACGTAATCTAGACCTTTCTGTTCAAACAGATATCTTTCATTACAGATACACTTCATATTTTCTTTCCCTGTGGCATCCTCTGTGCATGTATAACTGCACAGTGATTTAATTTTAATTGCAAAATCCATTTGATTTTGTACAGTATTATACATTAGCATAAACACCGGGCTTCTTTGATATATGTTGTTGACCTCATAACCCCAGAGCCACCTACACAGCACTCTGCTCATGGGTACTTGGTCCCATCAATGTCTCCGTGGGTTTATGGACAGACAGGATGCCCAATGCTCCTGTTAGACAGGACTTGGTGGCTGCACCACGGGTCCTCCTGCTGCAAGCTGTGAGGGGCCACAGGTGGGTTCAACTCCTTTGGGTGGGATCAGAGCACAGGCACAACAGTTCATTAGGAAGCTATGGTGCAGAAGCAAGAGCAAAGTGTGGGTCTTCCTTTGCAGGAGCTTTCATTGCACTCCAGGCAATAAGCACGTAACTTTTTGCAGTGGTAAACTCCACATTGTGCTGGGCTTTGTTGCACACAGAAGGTTAGATGTGGTTGGTTTGGGTTTTGTGCCAGGGAGACTAGGTATTTGAAGACAAATGCTGTATTCTTACGGGGAATTTCTGAAGATATTGTCACATCACATAGGTCTCTGTGACAAAACAAAACAAAAAAATACTTTGATCAGCTACTTACGTTTCCCAGAATTTTCCTTGAAGAGAGCCTGTGTCTCTTGAAAGCTGAGATCAAAGTCACTGTAAGCTCACAGATCGGAAGAAAAATTGCAGAAAATTACATAGATTCTTTTTATTTTACTCAAGGTAATGGACAGGGAGAAGGAACAAGGAGAAAATGGAAATGGCTCTGAAAGATAAATGGTTAGAAAACCTTCATATTTGAAAACCTGTCTGTTTTGTGTTTTTTGCTTATACTTCATGTATTTACAGTAGTTACAGCAATGTTTTACTCTGGAAAAAGTAATGATGTTAACATTCTTGTAAGAAGAGATTGCCTCAAATAAAACTTCAGAGGCAGCCGAATGAAAGAAGAAAATAAGGTTAAAATATGAAGCTTAATATCGCCAGGGGGCATCTGGTGTGTCAGTCAGATGAATGAGGTAAGCTGATTTATGCCCTACAAACTTCAGCCAAGGTGTTCCTGATGGTTTAATAGACTGCTGGCCTCCCACAGATCGTTGCTAACTGCAAGGGAGATTTTGCTGAGGTAGAACTACAATCATCTGTCTCCACTTCTTGTGAGCACTCCACAGCTCCCAAGCTGTTTATTTTTTGTCTTTTCCCTTTCTATTGATTTTTGGTTGTATTTTCTTTGCAGTTATAGTCAGCAAATGGCTGAGTAATAAATTTATATTTCCAAGCTGTAGAGAGGATTTGATTTAACAAATAATTTTTACCATTTAGGGCAGTTTAAAATGAGTTTTCCAGTTGCCTTTGCAGCTGTTTTCCCCCTTTTTATGCCATTTTGCTGCATTGTCATGTTTGTTGTCTTTGATTCTCGGAAAGCAATGCTTTTGGGGTGATGATGGAATATTGCCTCATCACAGGTTTCTTTGCCAGATGAGTTCCCTTAGTGACAATTTCTAGTGGATGCTGCAATAGGTCAACCTGTACTTTTTGCTGGTCACTCTTTTTTTTTCACATGCTTTACTTCTGTGTAAAGCACTTAGAGGCAAATTGTGCTCCTGCCTTGGTAATTGTTGCTCTGCTATTCAGGGGGACCATATAGGGGGACACAGATATTCTCTGGATGCATGAAGCTCCACAGGGACCACTAACCTGCTGGTAGGAGACACAGGGCCAAGGCCATGGGAGATCATCAAAGGCTAAAGCTTATAACTTCTTAGTTGTTCTGTCTCCTGAGGGCCAAATTGTTCCTCCATCTTTTGCATTTCTCTGACCCTCTATATTTAGCTCAGGTGTAGTGCAGAGATTTTGTCTTTCAGAGCTAACGCTTTGACCACTTGAGGCAAACCTAAGTGTGGTGATAGCAAGCCTCTCCAAACCACAACTCTGAAAGCAGGTACACTGAAACCTGGGTGGGCTGAGTACTGCAGTAATGATGACCATGTCAGTACTCCTGCCTGCTGTTGTGCCTTTCCACCCATTTGTGCCCTGGGGGCTGGTGGTGGCATCCTACTGGGGCACTGGAGCATATGAATCTAGGATGAAGCATGGGAAAATCAGAAAGAAACTGTGTAGCATGGAACCACAACTGGAAAATAACTTTAAGCTGCAGCTTTAAACTGTGTCATTCATTGTTTAATTAAACACTGAGATATGTATGACAGGGCTGGGAGTTAAAATTTGATGTATAGTGGGTGTTCTCTGAGCTGCTGAATTCCACTTTTTGGCTGCTGGTGTTTTAATCCAATATGTCCTAGGGAGACCACAAGGTCGTTTTCACAAGTAAACACCTCAAATCCGTAGTGTAAAGCCAAATGCAGGAGACCTTTGATCACTAGTTAAACTCTAAGTACGAGTCTCTGTAATTTTGCAATAAATCTGGTTATGATATGTTGTTTGTGTTCCTAATTATAAATCTGAAACAAAATTCAATGTTATCATAATTTTTATGATGTCAAAAGATCTTTCCATGCTGAGAATTTAAACTAATTGAAAGGTTGGTTTGGTGTAACTGTGAAGATACTAGTGGCATTTTTTGAAATACAAGTAGTTTTGAAATTTAATGAAAATGATGATTTAAAAGCACGTGTGGGCAAAGGCGTAATTGATATGCAATATTGCCACAATATCAATATTACCCTGTTAGTGTAATTAAGAACAGAAATTTGGACTGTAGCAATAGCAGCATCCCAATTTCCTTTCCCCTGACGCTCTCATTTGAGTTGTAGTTTACCAACAGGTCATTAAACTGGTGGAGACGTTGAATTGGTGCATCCTACAAAGATTGTATTTTTCAAATGAAGGACTATACTGGAAATATTTGTTTGGAAGTAAAGGTTTAGCATCTCTGTGTATGTGTAAAGAAGTAACCTCATCTTGTAGAGGTCAGGCTATCCTGACCAGTGCCTAGAACAGCACCTACCCCTCCCAGGGCAGCTTTGCCCATGGCTCAGTAACACTGGTTGCTCTGGGTCTTAGGATTCCTCTGTAAGGAATAACATTGCCTTGAAGAAACTGGTGTTTGGCTGGTTGCTTTCAATTTTGCTGCCTCAGAGAATATCTTTGGTTATTTACTTCATTGCTTTGCAAAGGCAGAATTTATCAGTGACAGAAAGTAGAAATTGGAAGAAGTGAAGGGAGAAATTATGTGAGCCCTTTTAATACAAAGAACTGTAGTATAAGTTTAGAAGATTATTTTATCTTTGACTTCACTGACAGGTCCCCTGTTACATAAGTGTTCTGCTTTTTCCACGTAGGTATTGCCTAAATGTCAGTCACGGCCATTTCCTGAAATAGGAACACTGAGTTTATTTAATTTGGGGGGTTTAAGTATTTTCCATTTCAAAATAATAAATATATAAGATATAGGATCTCTTCTATGTAAATGCTACATTCTGGGATTATACAGGAGTATGTTTAGATATATTAAAAACTTCTTAGTCATGATTTTAAGTGTAAAGCTTTGATTTTTCTTCTGACATCGCTACAGCAAGCTTTCATGTCAAAAGAAACCCAGTGAAGATGTTGATTCATTGGGAAAGGGGTGAAATGTCATACTCTTAACTACATCTTTTCATTTTCCAAGCTCCTCCTAGAGAACTGACAGAAGAAGAGAAACAACAAGTTCTCCATTCAGAAGAATTCCTGATATTTTTTGATCGGACAATACGTGTAATTGAGCGAGCTTTGGCTGAAGATTCAGACATCTTCTTTGACTATAGCGGCAGAGATGTAGAAGAAAAAGATGGGTCAGTGTGGGGTTTTTTTTGTTTTTGTAAAATAAGCTTTCTAGTGATACTTCCAGAGACAGGAAACCTTAATTTTAAACAAAATTTAACATTTTTGTAGTTAAAAAAAGGTTGAAATTTCTGCATGAAGGCCTGGGTTACTTTGTTATCTGAAATTATATTGTAAAAGAGCTTTGTGCTTTATTGAACTGGGGAGGGGGGGTTATTTGACATATTATTCAGCTGGCTTATTTCTTTGATTCATTTTCGGGATGAAATTTCAAATTCTGAACAAGTAACTGAAACAGATAAATGTGTGTATATGTACATATATATGTAAATGCATACATTCCAGTGGTGTACACGTGTGTGCTTATGATACCTTTACAAACTCAAACTAATGTTGTTTATATTCTACTACTGTGTCAGGTCTGTAATGGATCCCACTGGACTATGCTTTGTGGGGATGAAAAGGATGATTTCCCAAAGTGTTTGCAATCTAAATGGCTAAGACAAGAAGTGACAGATTTTGTATTCAGCAATCGATAGGGGAGCAGAAGCATTAAAACTTGTTAGGAGGAGAGGAAGTATTTAGATTTCAACAGCTACATATCTGTTGAAGCCTCATGGCAGATCAGTAGCTATGTTGCACTGAAGTTACTGGAGGTTACTCTAGAGCATCATCCCTGTGGACTGACAAAATGCATCAGTGTGACAATGTTGGACTAGTACTATGCTTCAGCCTGTCTGTAGCATCTGCCATCTCCTTCGCTGAATGCCAGGGTCAGGTTCATCCTGAGAGTCAAAGGGCACAGAGATGGCCTAGGGTGACCCAGAAGAGTCAGAAAGGCAGTGAGAAATTAAGAAATGTGCTTTTGTGAAACATGTAAAATTTGTCCCTTGGTGCAGATTCATTTTCAGCAAGACAGTCTGTGAGAGCAATTAAATCAAGGTGGCAGACTTCCCCAGGCTGGGCAGAGAACTGAGAAGTAGTCAGAAACTTCTGCATTGCTTTTTGCAGCTTTTGAACCCTGGTACTTCAAGATTTGTCACTTTGTTTGAATTCACACAGAGATGTTCAAGCAGGAGCCAATCTTTCCTTCAACCGACAATTTTATGATGAGCACTGGTCAAAGCATCGTGTTGTCACCTGTATGGATTGGTCTCTTCAGGTAAGATGTGAAGCTGTGAGACATGCTTCCATATCACTTCCACTTCTCCCTAAAAAACTTATGAACATCCTTGATTTGCTCTTTTTTATGAAGAGTAGGATGTTATTTTTTAGCTAACAGGAGGGCCCTGGATGAGTGAATGCATGTTTCTCTATAAAGAAGAGTAATGGGACAATAATGAACCTGTCATTTTTTGTGAATGTCTTGGTCTTCAAAACCAGAATGTTTTATTAAAACAGTAGTAGGTTAACAAACCTACTAAGGTGGAGTTTTACTTTTTACTCTTCCTCCCCTCTCTGCTCCTTCAGCACATGGAAATTTTTTAGCATAAAAGGTTTAAAATTAAACTAATTAAAATTAATTTACTAAACAATTAATTTAAGAAATAGTTATACATAGTAATATATAAAATAGAAAAAAGAATAGTGAGAAATAAAATTAATTTTTCTAATCTACTAATATACTAAAACAAAAGTGATCACAGCACCAAGCCTGCCTGAGTTCAAGAAGCATTCGGACAACACTCTCAGGCACATGGTGTGATTCTTGGGGTGTCATGCACAGTGCCAGGAGTTGGACTCGATGATCCTAATGGGTCCCTTCCAACTTAGCATATTCTATAATTCTATGATTTTAAAAATGTGAAAGTATCTGAACAACTTGAAAAGATTGAAAAGAGGTCTTTCAAAAAATGCTGGGTTCTCTCTTCAAGTAATGGAAGAGGAGGCTGCAGCTGCCCACAGGGCATACTAAAGCAACATGCCTGGAATGTACCCAGTTTCTGTGCACCACAAAGCATTGTCATTGCAAAATAAAACTGATGATAGAGATGCTTAAGCTTTCCAAAACCAATACAGTCACATCAGCAAAGTACAGAAGGCATGTTAATTAGTTACTCTATTGGAGAGCTGGGATTAGCACACACACATATCATCACACATCCCGTTAAATTAATTTGGTTCCAGTTTCACTCCAGCCCCCCTCATTCTCTCTGTTTCATCCCTATCAGCCTGTTCCTATGTTCCAGCCTGGAGCAAAGCATCTGCTTTCCCTGGGGAAAGAACCCAGGAGACTCTGCTCTTAAGTCCACAGTACAGATACAAAAAAAACCGCTCCAAGAGGACATGGAGTTCAAAAATGCAAGCACAAGTCAGTCTGCCTAGCTGGACCCAAACTCGGCCTCAAGTGTGCCCTTGAGTCTTCAGAGACCTAGTGGAGCCTGGTGTGGGTAGCAAAGGTGCTATAGAAGTAGCTCAGCCCAGTGTTAAGAACAACTTTTGCCTAATCTTAGAAGTAGCTGCTCTTTCTGCACCACATTAGATGTGCATGTGGACCCAGCAAGCGCTCAAGATCCAGTACGTAAATGGTGTGTGAGGGCTGGAGAGAGGCAGTGGATAAGGAGCACAGTGACTCTCACATCCATCTTTCTCTCCTTCCCCTTGAAATGGCAGCAGAGCTGCTTCCATCCCCCTGGGTACTTCTCAGGTAAGGTGACAGCAATTGTGGCTGGTAGGCTGAGTAGATCGGGGTGGTGCACAACAGCCAGCTGCAGAAAGGCTTCTTGTAATATCGAGCTTGCTCTCTGTGTGAGAAATGATTTATACCTTTGCTTTCATACAAAATATCAGCCTAACAACAGGTATGCACTATTGTGATGTGGGTGGCCTTTAAGCACATATGGATTTCTACAGAAATCAAATATAAGCCCGAGGAAACACTTATCTTAGGTTGTTCACTTGTTCAGGGGCTGGAAATTACATGGAATTCTTATCTGATATTTTCCTAACAAGCAGCTCTTACTGTATTCCCAAGGCAGCAAGAAAAAAAGCCGCCTCAGAAGAGCACTGCCAAATGTAATTGCTCAGCCCCTGGGGCTCGAAGGCATGTTCTGCTTCCCACCTCTTTGTTCCAGGGTGGCCCCTCCTGCCTTCCCTTTTGTTAACTCCTCACACACAGCTCCCTGGCACTCCAGTAGGGGCTCTTCTGTGCCAGGGGCCTTCTGCATGCCGCCCTACAGTAGCTTGGGAGTTGTTTCCTCTCTTGCCTGCTTTGAGTTTTATCCATGGAACAGGAGCTGGAGCCAAGGAGAGGTATTTCACCTAACCACTAGCTCTGCTTCTCACACATGCTCCAGGATATGACAGTGTCCAGTGTGTCAAAGGATAACTTGAATAATCATGAGAACTGCAGAACACATTGCTCAATTTTCTGTGATAAGACTGCTTCTGTGAAACAGCCTGGAGGCAAATAGAAACTTAATCAAACAAAGGACATTGATGCATTGATTAAACAAGTTATTCTGTTCCCAGTCACATGTAAAATACAGTCTCAAACATGTGGGATCATTCATACCAGTAAAGCTAACCACTAACCCCTTGATTCTTTCACAGAGCAACAGGAAAATGGCTTAGATGCTTCATTAGGGATCTTAGGGAAAGGCCCAACAGACTGAGAGTAAACACAAAGAAAGAGTGGGATCACCTTACTCTGTCCATGGGAGCTCATTTACCAAGAAAACCACAATCTCTGGAATAGTGATGTGTCTCTCTTGACTCTCAGGCAGCAGCCTTGAATGCTGTTTTGCACAGCACCATTTCCATGTTGTTTACAGTTGCAGTCACAGGACATCTGGCTACCTGGTGAGGACTGAAATTCTTTAAATGCAAGTAGATTGAGTGAAGCATTGGAGTGCACAATGCCAGAGAAGACTTAGGGTGCTGCATTTAGCTCTGTTTTATGAGTCACAAAGCCTCATAATGGCGTTATCCAGCTAGGTATGACCCCAGCAACTGTGTAAACTGTATTTTCAGTCAAATACATAAACTGATTGCAAAATCTACATATAGACCAGTGAGATTTGAGTCAGCGTTTGTTTATGGCCAGACATGTTGCTAACCATGCTCGCTAAACTTCCCAGGAGCATTTACTAGCCCCAAAGTGCCTCAAAATTGGCACTTTGGACCTAGTCACACATCCTAGCTGGCTGCAGTCATGCTAGTGGAAGGGCTTTCACTTCTGCCTGCCAAGGTGTCTGCCCCTTTACATCTATGGTCTCAGCTGCTCACGTGAATGGTACCTAATCTGTTCAGCCAAAACATGATGCCCTGTCAAGAGCCTACTGCACACGCTGTTTACTTGGACATGGGCCAGTGTGGGATGAAAAGATTCAGAGGAGAAGCTGAGCTCGCTGCTGAGAAGTGGTTGTAATATCTGTTGCAGGAGAGACAGAGAAGAAAGGGGGGAGATGGATGAGAACATTGGAGGGCAGGCTGGTACCAGTGTGTCCAGAGAGGTGGTGTCTCAGGTGTGGGATTAATTCACCCTCAGGTTTCCCTCTGTTCTTGAGGAAGGAGAAGAGGTGTTGGTCTGCTGCATCCCCTAAATCCCATGCAAGTGAATTGGGTGCTAAATTGTCCTTACAGGCTGTGCCAGCAGCCAGGGATGTAGGTTCAACCCAGTTAGAGCTGCCTCAAATTGGGATAGAGGAGGCTATGGTGGCCACGTATCAGTGTTGATTCTTCTGCCTGTGGGTCCAGGCTCATTTGGAACGATGAGCTTGAATAGAAAATCATCATCTCTGTGACGCATTATCCATGGAAGTGTACAGAAAGTGGGAAGTAACAGCTGCTGATGGCAAAAGTTACATTATTTCTTCAAAATGGATTTTGAGAGCAGAGAGGTTCAAACCCCAACAAAAAGGGTGGTGGTTTGGGGGTTTTTAATTGTTAAAATGCCTTTGGACCAAATTCACAGCTCCCAGTTGGCAGTTTATTTGTCCCACTCCCTTTGCATGTGCCAGCTGTACTGTTCCCCTGTAAAGTGGTGAATGGTTTGGCAGGAATTTACCTGGGAAAGACAAAAAGTGACAATTATCTGCAGATATTATCGAGAAATTTTGAGGGAAAGCATTTCTAGTTTACAAAAGGAGAGTGTGGGTCTTGCAGAACTTGAACTGCTGGCTTGTTGGTCTGCAGAAGCCACATGCTTTTCTCTGGACATGCCATAAGGTCCACTGCTTTATTTTGACTATTTAGAGGGAAGGACAGAGGTTACCAGAGGTGCCTAGTATCCAACATGTGAGAGTGGAGAACTGGAAGTTATTGTATAGACTGAAAGTAATTGATGTTTTGTGGACAAATTGTTAGTCCTTATGGTGTTTTGAAACGATGGAAGGTCATCAAAAGAACGTGAAAATCTGATTTCATATATGATATTATGTGTGTATATATATATAAACAAAGCAAGTACATATATGTGTTGCATATCTACTTCTATACGACAGTGGATAATGGGTGTACAAGAAAATATGGATCTGATTTTAGAGTGCTCATTGCATCAATCTCACTGAGTCAGTGGAATTCAAGATCACCCTGTGCTTTATAAGATGACCTCAGCATCTCGCAAAATTGAGCTTCTGCGAAGAAAATGGTTTTTTTGCCATTTGAATCATCAAGAAGAGCTTTCCAGTTGATTCTATGCATAAGTAAATAAGAGTGCATAATGAAATAAGAAAGAATAGTTTTCAGGAATGCTGAAAAAATGTGAATTTCAGAGTAAAACAAGTCAACTCCATGATCATAGTGTTTTTATTATCAAAATCAATTAAGATAGTAGTTTGTCCTTGAAGAGATGGTTAAGCAAATATGTTAAAATTACTCAAGCTTTCAGATTTTTCCTCTTCCTTCCTTTGCATTCCCTTCATAAAAATTCTGAAAGTTGTCTTTTTTGAGAATTACCTGCAGAAAATAGCATTGCCTTTGTGATATCTGAGAATAACTGATAGAGAGCAATTATCAGGGGCTTTAAGGATGTTAGGGACAAGTAAAATATAAACCAAAATGAAGCAGAGTAATATGACTGAACTAACATGTATTATAATTAAAACCAGATATTGCACATTTAGTGTAGATTATTTCTGTCTCATATGATTTTGCATAGGTTTTTATCATCTATCTTATTTCATTTGCTTTTTCTTTTTCTTTCTAGTACCCTGAGTTGATGGTTGCATCTTACAACAATAATGAAGATGCTCCACATGAGCCTGATGGGGTAGCCTTAGTATGGAACATGAAGTTCAAGAAAACCACACCAGAATATGTGTTCCATTGTCAGGTAAGACTGAGGAAGTCATTAATTTCGTGCTAGACAAAACGGAGTTTACTACATAGCGCATCTTTCCACTGTTTATATGAAGAGGTTGAGGTTAAAAATAGGCATTTTTGGAAGAAGTACAAGTGGCAGTCCTGTGTTTTTAGAAGACAAACAGCCTTCTCAAACAAAAGCCTGTCAGGGCTGCGTGTCATTCTTTGTCTATTTAAAACAGTCCCTAGGAGATTTAGTTTATAAAGCCCTTGCACTTATGAAGTAACTGTGGTGTACCACTTCCTCATCCAGGCAGCAACACATGCTTTCCCACCCACGTTAACTTCCTCGCATCCTCTGCACTCAAGCTGCCTACCCTTGCCTGGTTCTGCTCAATATTTTGCCTTTAATATTGGGAAACACACTTTGCATTTTTGGACATGTGTCGGACTTACAGCTTGATCAAAATGGTCTCAATTACAAGAACTACTCCACAACTCATGTCTGACTGTCCTTTAGGTTAGCAAAACAGTGTTTCACTTCACTCAGCGCTACTTTATGATTATGCTGGTTTAGAAGTTTATGGACAATTCAAAAATCCTTGAGTGTTTTATTTTTGTATGTCTGTTTACTCCTCTTTTGCCTCTGCTTTTGTGTGTGAGATGGCACAGCCTCACATCGATAGAAGTGTTCAGCTCATTGGCTCCATCAAATTGTCCAAACTGTGGAACAGGGCTTGGGCCAAATTTCCAACCTCTTCATTAATATCCTTCTGTGGTAATTAAATACAGGTCAGTGGTATTTGAAAAGCCATATGGAAAAGTTTCAGCAAGTAAAACTTAACAATCAGAGATTAGTAAAATGCAGATAATTCTGTGGTAAAAATTGCTTCTCTTGGAAGGATATGTATTACCTGGCTAATTGTGTAGGCTAAGTGTCATTTTACATTCAAGGACCAAACATCTTTTTGAACTAAGTTTATGTTTGGACTTGGGTACATTATCAGATGTAGCATAGTGGGAGGGAGTTGCTGGAATTGAAGTTGCTGCTTCAACCTGATTAAGTAACCTTTAATTCTAGGCATATTTTTCTAATTTGCTATACTGAAAACCAACCTCACAAGGAGTCTAAGCCTGCATAGCAAATATGCCATACAGATTTATATACATATATATGTGTGTATGTGTGTGTGTGTGCGTGCGTGCGTGTGTGTTTGTATTACCTTTGAAATGAGAACTTGTATTTTTCTGGAGATTATATTTGGCAGTCGATGTGTTCCTTCAGACTGCTTAAGATCTTAGTTCAAATCCCATGTTCAGATTCTTCTATGATGTACATGCAGCTTAATGTTTTGAACAAAATATTCAAGAGAAGAGTTGACCCCCTGCATTTCCAGGAAGAATAATCCTTAAACTAGGTAATAACCAGATTCAGGGTAGCCCTTCTGAGTACACAAAGGAAGACTGACTACAGACATAACAATGTGTTCAATATGAATTTTAATTTCTATCTAGGTTTTAAAGTAGGTACACTTAAATAGGGGAGGTATGACTCACTACGTTGAAAGCAATGAGATAGCTATAGTCTCCATTAGAAACACACACATAGGACAAAGTGGTGGCCAGAGATTTGGCATGGCTGAGCTTCTGTCTAGTCCTCACATTAAGTTGGATGTACCCCTTTTTAGAACCGGAACCTTAAAACCTGTGAACTGAGAGATATGTTTGGCGCTGTACTTGTACATGTATCCTGGTTTCATCCTCTTTCAGCTAAATAAAATCAGTTCTGCCCATGAGAACTATTTATTTACTTGGTCAAACTGTCCACTGATAATTTGTGTTAAAACCCATTATGAGTGGGAACTTTGTTTGAACCACCATTACGGGGTTTTTGACTTGAAATATCTTCTGCGTATCTTCGCAGATACGCAGAGAGGGATACCCTCACGTGATTAAATGGGGAAACAAAAAGCAAGCAAGTAACTTGGTCTCTTGAACACAGGTTTTGTTCTAACTGACTCAGACGGAAAATAAGAAAAAAATAGTATCTTAGCTCAGAGTCTGGATTTCAGTTCTGTAGATCATAATGGTTTTCTGTTAGTGGAAACCAACTGTATTATTAGTCAGCCCCATATCATTTATATTACCATTTTGCTAGAGAAACATTCCCTTATTCAGTCCTGATTTGGTCATTTCTCTAGGTTTTCTGAGAGAGAGGCCCAATTTTTGTTCCACAATACATGATCTTATAACAGTCCAGCTCAACAGCTAGAGATGAACACACACCTTATCATTATAGCTAGGTTGCCCAGATACGATGAACACAGTACTTTGTGTGTATTTTCCCAATAAGCCTCTATTTTCCTTTCCAAAGACTTTCTATAAAAAAGACATTTCCATAAATCCTACATGATGCTAATATACCTCTTGCCTTTTGATTTTTGGGCTCACAGAACAAGACACAAGCAAATAGAAACTTATTTCAGGAGTGACTTTCAAGGAGCTCTTGCAAGCTGCTTCTGAGAAGCCAAATCAATAAATAGGTTTATGAAGCCATTTCTAAGAAACTTCTAAGAAATTTCACATTGGGAGTTCCGATTACATCAATAGAGATAGATATGTGAAACATCTCTCAACAGCTAAGGAGCTGACTGGAGGTATGACTTCAGATACCTCTTGTGCACATTTGGTAAATTCTCAAAGCTAGGAACCTCAATGTTTTTCTGTCTCCCCTGGTGTATTATACAGATGTAAGTGAGATGATTACTACAGAATTTCTTAATTTTCTTTATGTCTTTCTGTGACTTTTTGTAATCTTACATAGGATCATTGAAATTGTCATAATCAGAACAGGCTTTCCAAGGGCCTTTGCTGAAAGCTGCCAGAACCCAGGGACTTCAACTAAAGTTGTCTATCAGCCACGACAGATAATGCAAAAATCTACTGGCAATGATGTTTTTTCTAACTCCAATCAGCAAAACATTTGATTTCAGTCCTTAAATGTAAGGGGTGGTGTATTCTGTAAATACAAAATTCTTACCCAATTTAAAGTCATATTAGATTGTTGGCTCATTAATATAATTTAAGTGGTAGCAAATTTCATAGCTCTACAATATGTTGTGCTACAAATACTGGGTTCAATTTCAGTTAATGGAAAAATGTTTAGTTAAAGGAAAAATGACTATCAACCAAGTGGACACGTTTACTCGTTGTTTCATGTGAACTGCCATGTGATCTATCAGATCCTTTCTAAATAAAACAGTCCTGCTGGCTTCTACTCTCACCTCCTATGGAATATTTTTTTTCTTCTACATGTTTTATTTTTGCCCTTTTTTGGGTTTTTGTATTTTTGCATTATGTGCTGATTGTATTTTAGATGTGAGTCCCAGATTTTTTGCTCTACAGCTCATCATACATCTCTTTACCACAAGATTAGAAATAGGAAAACAAGGAAGAGTGAGGGACTGGGCAATTTGTTAACTTGTTTTCCTATGCAAGCAAAAAAATGTTGTCTCAGAAGCAAAATCAGAGTGGGAGGGTGATTTTTACCAAAGGAATGAATGCTCAGTGCTTTTCTAAGGTAGTGGGGAATAAATTGAGCATGCAGTTAATACTGCAGAGTGCAGACTGGGAATATTTCTGTAGGGAAGAGTCAGGGATGTCCTCTTCGCCCACGCTGGAGCATCACAAACTATTGGTGTAATCCATTGCATTCCAAAGGCAAAACACAAGCCTTTCAGAAGTACTTTATGAGACCCTGCAGATGAGTCATTCCTAGTTGGGTTGGTTTGGCAGTATCCAGAGAGGGAATGAATTCCAGCAACAAAATGGAAATCACATTGACTCTCCCTCGGTTTGATTGGGAAAATTTTAAAGAGTGGTTCACACTACTCTCAGCTACTGTTAGTCTGCTTTTAGGTGGGAATGACAAAAATGAAAATAGTATTGCAAGGTTATTGATGATATGACTCAACATGAACTCAATCCTATATTGATTTATGCAATCCACAGGGCTGGCCTTGTATGTGAACATTCTCTCCTATATTGATTTATGCAATCCACAGGGCTGGCCTTGTATGTGAACATTCTCATACTATTGATTGATAGTGTAGCAACAACCATATTTCTCAGTATTACTCTCTTTTTCAGAAAACACTTATCTGTCTATAATGTGTTTTTTCACTGAACATACAAATAAAAATCTACATTACCCATTAATTATGAGGATCATTAGTACTACTCATCATCTTTGCCCATGATGGTGTTTCTGTTTCACAGTAGTCTGATCTAAGCTTTCTAAGCCAGAGTGACCTGAAGAAGTACATGAAACTTTCCACCAACATATCTGGTTGAGTGAGGCAAATAAGAACTCAGAGAGTATGCAAGAAATTGTCTAATTGAAGTCTGAGCTATTACACCCTTTCTTTCAGCAGAGCCTGTTAGCATGGGTACAGCACTGCTCTTCTGTCAGGTCCCGTACCTTTTGGGTTAGAACTCATCTGCAGAGACAGAAGTCACAAGGAAAAGAAATAATCTGTGTCTCTCAGGGACTTTATGGTATTACAAGCCATTTCCTTTCTTCTGGAACTAAAGAGGGGTTATTAAAGTTGGTTGAGGTATCTGGATCTCAGCTTCAAACATCCGTCATTTCAGGAGAGGAGGGGTGGAGGAAGATGCTAAAGATATTAGTTTCATGCAAATAAACCAAAGGGAATGTTACTGTCTGATTTGGAGGACTCTGCATTGTCTTTGGAAAGTTTGATGAATTCTGCTTTACTACACCCAATCTAATGATAACAGAAACAAAAAAAGGACTACATTAACTGTCTTTTGATTTATTATGGATTATTTCCTGATCTACTAATTTCCTCTTTCTCTCAGCTGTGTCTTTTTCAAGTGTCTCAAAAGGGCAGTACAAATCTGACACTTAGAAGCAACTCCATTCAGTGTATTTTAAAAGAAGGAGTGCACATGTGAACTAGCTTTTATTTGAGGAAGCAGTAACTATTGAAGAGTTCTTTCAAGTAGTTG